AATTAGTAATTTCCTGTCCACCTAAAAGCTAGAGTTCCTTGAATAAACACAATATAATAGGAAAGCTAATATAATTTAAATAGAGCCATGCTTGTAAGCTCCACTATAATTAAACTTAATTCTGAGAGAGAAGGGAGAAAGTGATCTATTGTAGAAAATTAGAGCTACATGTTCCAAGAGTTCTCTAAAATATTGTTTCTAACAATGTGAAGATTATCGTTTTGTGCACTGCATGTCTATATGGCCTTTAGAATAAACCGCACTGTGCAGCCATTACAATTCCTGTGTTTCTAGAAATGTTCTTCAACTCGTTCAAGCGCCTCAAAATAATTGCGTATAACTTGTCATCCACTATCACAACACACACCAAGAGGCAGTTCCATCAACCACACTAGACTGTCTTATAAACCAGGATGAGAAGTGCTACACGTCAGTAAACAAATTAACGAAACAGGTGTTGGGTCTCTAATATTAGCACTTTTCTTTTTTCAAGTTTAAAAGGAAAGGCCTTGGGGGCGCCTGGAGGACTCAGTTAAGCATCTGACTCTTGATTTTGGCTCCGGTCATGATCTTGCAATTCGTGAGATCAAGCCTTATATCGGGCTCTGTGCTGACAGAGTGGAGCGCACTTGGGATCCTCTCTCTCCCTCCCTCTGCCCCTTCCCCTCTTGTTCTCTCTCTCTCCTCTCTCCCTCAAAATAAATAAATAAACTTAAAAAAAGTAATAAAAGAGGGGGCGGGCATCTAGGTGACTCAGTTGGTTAAGCATCTAACTTCAGCTCAGGTCATGATCTCACAGTTTGTGGGTTTGAGCCCCATGTTCGGATTCTGTCTCCCTCTCTCTCTGCCCTTCTCTCTCTCAAAAAGAAACAAACATTAAATAAATAAACAAACAAATAAACAAACAAATAAATAAATAAATGGAAAAGGCTTTGGATTATCTAATCTCCATATTTCTTCAATTCTAAGATTTGATTACCCTAAATGAAATAAAACGGATCAAATTATAAAGGCATGGAATGAATGGTGAAGGACACATAAACATAACTAATGGTCATGAGGTCAAAGAGAAGAAAATCAGAGAGAGTAAGCTGGCTACTTGGAGAAGCCCACAAAGGCACCCAGACAGAAAGAGAAGTCAGTACCATGATGGTCCAGAATCAGAGTAAAATCAGCCAAAGACAGTGAACACTTCCCAGAGTTTTGCTGTGCAAAATAACAAAAAGCCCTTACCAATCAAAGTACTTTTTAATGAATAAAGTATGAAGTTTCATAAGTTAGCGAAGAGGCATTCAAATAGAACATAAAAAATAAATTATTTAAAATATTCCCTATGAGAATTCAACTAATTGGATTTATTCATAAATTTGCTGCACACCCACTATTGGTAGAATACTTCTATATACTAGCAATAAATAATGGGAAATTTGCAGTAACACTAAAATATAGAATGCCTGAGAATAAATCTAAGCAAATATGTACATGATCTGTATGCTAAGCATTACAAAATACTAATGAACAAAACCAAAGAGGATCCAAATACAGGAGAAGAGATACCATGTTCATCGATCAGAGGACTCAATATTGTTGAAATGTCAATTTTCCCCAGATCGATCTATAGATTTAACACAGTCCCAGTCAAAAACCCAGTCGGAATTTTTGTAGAAATCAATAAGCTGGTTTCAGGTTTTGGGGCGCCTGGGTGGCTCAGACGGTTGAGCGTCCAACTCTTGATTTCAGCTCATGTCATGATCCCAGGGTCGTGGAATTGAACCCCACATCAGGCTCTGCACTGAGCATGGAAAATGCTTAAGATTCTCTCTCTCCCTCTCCCTCTCCCCCATCTCTCCCCATCTGCCCCATCCCCTGCTCATATGTGCTCACACTCTAAATAAACAAACAAGCAAACAAATTCTTGCCATTCAATCCAAAGATCCCCTCCAAGGTGTTTACCCAAGAGGAATGAAAGATGAATGTTCTTATACTCACAAAAAAACCTACCACAGGTATTTATGGTAGCCTTATATACTAACACCCCCAAACCTGACATAACCCCAGGTTCTTCAACTGGCAAATGGCCTGTAACGTGTCCATAAGATGGGGCCCTGCCCAACGATACAAAAGAATCAGCTACCGATACTGCACCACGAGTGAAGCTCAGACGCATTACTCAACGTGCAAGAATCAGACTCAAACAGCTGCACAGTCAGTGGCAGCACTTACGTCATCCTGGAAAAGGAGTACACACAGGAACAGCAAACAGATCAGCAGGGGGTGGGGAGTGGGATGCAGGCTGACCAGGAGGGACACTGGAAAATCTGGGGAGGTGATGAACTGCTCTATGTCTCGATTTTGGTAGTAGTTACACAACTTTATGCATTTGTCAAAACTCAGAGAACTGTATACTCTCAATGGTGGTTTTTGCTTTCCCTCAATAAACCTGACCCTCTCCCCCACTGAAAAAGTAATGTGAAAGAAGAACAATATGTAAGACTCAGTAGCTACAACAGACCAGGAACACGGCTCAAAAGATGTTCCTGAACAGTGGCTATGAGTGGGCCACAAAGTGAGATCTAAAATTTCTAGAAGCCGATGCCTGGTCACTTATATGGTCATCAATGTCTATAGGATGTTTTTCATAAAGCACACGTTTGTACGACAGATAAAATCACTCACACCCGGAGGCATAGGAGCAAAGAAAGAAATTATAAAGGTTTTTGATAACACAGAGGTCGGCAACAACTATTCTCAAACATCCAGGGTACACGATATTCTTGTAAAAATGAAATCGTAAATGATAAACACATCAGCAAACACATAAGAAAAAAACAGTATACAGATAGTGAAAAAACTCTCCAAGGTGAGTCAAAAGGGAACAAAGGAAGTCACGATAGAGAAGAAAATGTGGAAAATTCAGTGGCACAAAAACTCTATCTGGAGTCTTCTAACAGCTGCCTTACTTGCAGCCTTTTGAAAACATTTTATTATAAGACAATAGAAAAGAAAGGTCACCACACTAATACTTTAGAATTTCTAGACTGTAGTCAATGTTTTCATTCGTCACAGTTCTGTGCACATCCAACAGTAAACAAACTGACAATTAAAAGTGAGATTCAAAATAACTTAAAATGAAATGGAAAGATTATTCTAGTAAGCCACCCGATACGTGTTTCCCACAGACTTCTGCAGGGAGCGCCTGCTAAAACTGGTATTATGCAAACTGGAGCACACCACAGAGGAAGCCATGGCCAGGGCACGATGGGTGGGCGTGTGTGGGCGTGTGTGGCCGTGCACCTGATGGTCTAACCATGATTTTAACAGGGAAGAAACAAGCAAGAGTCAACCAATCGATACATGTGTGCTTACTCTGTCATCACTCCTGAGGCTACGCGCCTAGGATCTGAGCACTTTTCTAGCGGACGGAAATATTAACATCTCATTTAAAATAAAAGAGAATCAAGCGCGAAATATTCACGGCACGATACTCTAAAGTGTGAAACGAAGGGCTCCTCAACGCAACTGCAATCTCACTGGAGGTATGGACAGACAGACTCACTGCTCTACACTACCTGATGTGCAGTCAGCTTTGTAGGGGAGACAGGCACGCCCAGTGCAACCTGGCCTGGCTCGCTGCCCAGTCTCCAGGCCCCCTTCCAGTCCCCTCTACGCTGCTGTCCTGGATCTGATCCCGAAGCTCCCCTGCTGTTGAACTTCCCGTCGGAGCCGCCCAGAACGCTCGGCCAGCTTCCAGGGCACAGGCCGCCCCACTGCTGGCCCAGCCAGAGCGCAGTGTGCACCCCACCCGCCCAGCTGGCCACATTGAGGTAAGCCCTGCGGGCTCAGTATGCTCTCAGATGCACTCACTCCGCAACTGAGCCCGGCTCCTCTTCTCCCAGCGCCCGCCCCAGGCTACCGGCCACCCCAGGCTAGGGGGAACTGTCCCTCTTCTCCGCTCCCACGGCCCTGGGTTCTTGGCACTTACAAGGCACGATCTCGCTATGCACAACTAACCATTCTTATTTTATGAATAGATAAAACAGTTCAAAGTGTCAGAAATACACTGAGAGGCATGAAGTGGCAAGTTCCCTCCCCGCCCTGTGCCTCATCGTCCTAGCTGTGAGCCTTCCCCATCACCCGCAAGGAGTCACTGCTATTGGTGTCCTGGCGTCTCTTCCGGAAGGTGGCGTGCGTCACCTCTGGGCCAGGACTAAGAAATTGCTGTGATTTCCTGACCCTCTTTCACCCAGCTCCGTGCCGAGGGAAACCAGTGCCACAACACAGGACAAACCTCGCGCGTGGAAGGAAGCCTCACGCTACCTCAAACACCTGCCCTGCACTGTTACCAGAAAGAAACTTTTTATTATTTTTTAAAAGTTATTTATTTATTTATTTTGAGAGAGATAGAGACAGCGTGAGCAAGGGAGGGGTGGGGGGGAGTGGAGAGAAACAGAGAATCCTAAGCAGGCTCCACACTGTCAGCACAGAGCCCGATGCGGGACTCGAACTCACGAAACCATGAGATCATGAACTGAGCTGAAGCCAAGAATCAGGCTTATCTGACTAAGCCATGCAGTCGCCCCAAACTTCTTATTTTTTAAAATTTTTATTTATTTTGAGAGAGAGAGGGAGGGAGGGAGGAGCAGAGAAAGAGGGAGAGAGAGAATCCCAAGCAGGCTCAGCACTGTCAGTGCAAAGCCCAATGCGGTTTGAACTCACGGACTATGAGATCATGACCTGAGCCGAAACCAGGAGTTGGATGCTTAACCAACTGAGCCACCCAAGCGTTCCAGGAAAGAGGCATCTATGTGTACAGCCCATGACACTTTGAGTCCCTTACAGGCACTTGTTACCTTCTTTTTTTTTTTTTTAACCTTTTTTTTATTGAGAGACACAAAGAGACAGAGCATGAGCAGGGGAGGGGCAGAGAGAGGGGGAGACACAGAATCCGAAGCAGCTCCAGGCCCTGAGCTGTCAGCACAGAGCTTGACACAGGGCTCGAACTCACAAACAGCAAGATCATGACCTGAGCCAAAGTCAAATGCTCAACCAACTGAGCCACCCAGTTGCCCCATTCGTTACCTTCTAACACAACACAAAGGCAGGCACAAAATGAACTCATTTTCCACCATACTCTACGCACGGCGCATGTCAGCCATCTCTCCACAACACTCCACCCTGGACATCTTGCTATCCTGGTCCTGAAGAGCCCCTTGGTCCCTCCTCACGGCTGCGCGGTCCTCCACCCTCCGGAGTGCCACAATCCATATCACGTGCTCCCTAACGATGAATGTCTGGGTTGTGGCAAATTCGTGGCTCTTGGGAAACCGCTGCACTAAATAACTCTCCATACGTCATTTCTCGTGTATTCAAGCGCATTTGCGGGACCCATCCTTAGCGTGAGGCTTCTGAGTCAAAGGGCTTATCAATGCTCCGTCAGTTTCTCAGACCCGGTGAATGGGCCCCGTGGGAGCAGCACCTGCCTGTCCTCCCCACAGCAGCGGGCCCCAGCGTCCCCCAAAACCTGCGGCCACACCAAAGCAGAGTCGCTAAACCGCGGCTCTTGCTCCAGTCTGAAAGATGAAACAGTAAGATTGCCAAGTCGCCGTACTTTGCATTTCTCTTATTTTTTTCATAAAGTTGAAAATCTTTTAGTACGGTCAAGTTCCCTTTATTTCTCTTTTGCAGCAACCTGTCTTTCTGCAACCTTCGCCCGCTCTCACCCTGGGCCACCGGTCTGTGCTCACAGCATGTAGGGCCTTTCCGATCGGGGTTCGCTAGTCAGGGCCGCTGTGCAGGGATCCCCTGGCTCTCCTCCTCCTGAGGCCCCTGGCCCCGTCTGGGTGATCCGCGCGCCCACGTCGTCACAGCCCTGGAGCTACTGGACATACCTCTAGCATCTCCCCGTGAACCGGGCCTCTGGCCTCTGGACGGGCGGCTGGCACCGTGTCGGGGAAGGATGTGCCCCTTCCAGTGTCAGCATGTGGCGGCCGTCCCCCCGAGGGCCCCCCGAGGCAATCGGCCTGCCTTCTGGATCGTCTCTCTAATCCCAGCTCAATAAACCTTTTATAAACCGCCGACTGGGAAAGGTGAGTGTGACTGGGGCACAGCTGCACCTGCTTTCAGGAGGAGGTGAAGCTCTCCAGCGTGGAGAGCTGAGCAGGCCAGAGAGAGGCGGCGGGAAGGGTGGCCAGGGGCTCGCAGGCGGGCGTTTCAGTGGCCAGAAGGAAAGAGGGAGGCGTCCAATCTGGGCAGGGCGGTGGAAGGGATGCGCGACGCCACCGGGGAGGCTAGTGTGCGGGGCGGGGGCACTTCAGCCAGCAGGCCCAGGGCCCGCTGATAAGAATACTGGCACCAGGTCACGGTCACTGGCCCAGTGGCCGGGGTCTGCTGGAAGCTCCGAGGCGCCCACATGCCTGCTGGGGGCTGGTTTCTCCTAGAAGTGGGCAACTGCTTTATGCAAAACTACAACTCAGCTCTCAAATCCAGGCCTGAGGATTTTAGACCCAGGGCTCTTTGTCCTCAACACAGCAGGCCCTGGGCAATGTCGCTTCTTACCCTGCCCTTTCCCATGGCCCTCCGCGGTATGGCACTCACCTGCCACCACCCTGTCCGGATGGACTGTCTGCCCTTGTCCCACGCCCTAAGCCGACCTCGAATAGGCGCCTGTTGGTGGCCCTGTGTCCCGACAGCGCCCCCCCAGGTATGTGTGAGGGCGTGCACATGTTCTCAAGAGGCTTCAAGACTCCAAAGAACAGAAGCGTGACCCTGCACACCAGGTGGCTGGGCTGGCGCTGCCGCCGCGCGGGGGTGAGAAGCCCTCACGGCCCCCTGGGACGGGACCCCAAGCAGAGGCGGCTGGAGCTGTTGTTCATGTTTGATGTGCAATTTAGTAACCATGAAATGACTACTCAGTACAGCGAGGAGACGGTATCTGTGATTACTTTGCCCAAATTCCTTTTAACTTACAGCCCGCTGACTGCCGGCTGACCACTAAATGGCACAGGTGTTTTATAAAGCTATTGACCAAGTTTAAGTTTTGAAGGCAGTTATGTGCAGGCCCTACGCCATCTCCCGCAAGCAGGGATGCGGTCCTCCCGCCCTCCGTGCAAGGAGGAGACGGAGGGGGCGTCCACACAGCTGCTGCTCTGGGACCTGTGTGCTCCCAACAGCTGCCCGCCTCAGCCCTCCACTTCCGGGGGGGGGGGCATGCACACACCCAGCCCAACGGTGCAAGACGCCCATGGGGGCCATGGTGAGGGGGCCAGAGGGGACACGGGGTGCATGATCGGCGGGCCGTTACTTCCCCCCAGAACACCGTCACCACACCGAGAAGCAACCCCATAAGATACAAACGTTGTCTACACAAAACGCTGCGAGGGAGAGCTTTCTAGAAATGGCAGTTGAGAGGAGTTTGTGCCGAAACAGAGTCAACCAAGGGGAAGGCGGAGGGGAAGCCAGGGCCCCAGCTGTGTAAAATACTGAACTAGATGCCAGAGAGTCACAAAGAAGGAAGAGTGTCAGAGATTATCTTTGGTCCCGAGGAATTTACACTCGTTAGGGAACCAGCAGGAAAGAGGAACCTGGTATGACTACATTTTCCACAGTTAGTGCCAAAAACGTGCCACACACAAGTGCAGCAAGAACATCAGCAAACGGACTGTCTGTAGTCAGCAATCTGGGGGGGGGGCGTTATGCTCATCCTCCCATGGCTGGACCTGGGCCAACAGGACAGAAGCATAGACCAGACGGAGGCGCTCCACGGCGAGGGACACAATGCGACGGAAGGCGCACAGGGACGGCGCGTGACACCAGTCACTGAAGGCGGCTCCAGAGGAAAACGACGTAGGGAGAAGACGGAGGCGGGTTCACAGGGCGTGGAAGACAGCCGCAGAACTTCGTCCGTCGTGGGGGACGAGGGCGGGTCCCAACACAGACAGGACAGGGAGAAACGGTGTTCCAGAATACCTCCAAACAGTTAGTAAAGGGACTGCAGAATGAACACAAGGATAGGATAGCCAGGGGCGCCTGGGGGGCTCAGTCCATTAAGCATCTGACCCGATTTCGGCTCAGATCTTCATCTCACGGTTTGAGGGATCGAGCCCGCATCCGGCGCTGCGCTGACAGCATGGAGCCTGCTTGGGACTCTCTCTCTACCCAAAGAGAGATCGGCCCCCCCTTTCAAAAATAAATAAGTAAACTTAAAAAAAAAAAAACTAGAATAGACAGTCCTGAAAAATGTGGGTCAGGGCATAACCTTAGCTATACGCTCAGGTGGCGGTAGAGATGGGAAAGGAAAGGGGCACGTGTGACAAGGGCAGAGAGGCGCCGAGCTGGCGTCGCAACTGGGGACCCTGGGTGGCTGGAAGGCATTGGTGGAGCTGTTACCACCAATACGAAGGGAGAGCAGGGTCAGTCTGCTGTGCGCGCAGGACACGGGGAGGGTGCTCGTGGCCCAGTGTTCCTGTGGGAACTTAATCACGCTGCCTTGTCCTGGCACCAGGGAGCCGCTCCGCGTAGAAACCAGCCACTGCACGCATGGCCGCGCTGGTTGCGTCTCCCCTGAATTCTGCTGTTGCCCCATGAGATGTGGCACCTACGTCATCAGGAAAGACCTCTTAATGAGACCGCCCAGCCCAGCACAGTGACTGACAGCTGGAGCTAGGGAGGGGGCAGACGCCAACCCTGAGAGGTCAAGTCCAGCTCCGTCCGTCTTTGCAAGATGCGTGGCAAGGGGCGCCTGGGTAGCTTAGTCGGTTGAGCGTCCGACTTTCGCTTAGGTCATGATCTCGCGGTTCGTGGGTTCGAGCCCCGCGTCGGGCTCTGTGCTGACTGCCAGCTCAGAGCCTGGAGCCTGTTTCAGTCTGTGACTCCCTCTCTCTCTGANAGAGCCTGGAGCCTGTTTCAGTCTGTGACTCCCTCTCTCTCTGACCCTCCCCTGCTCACGCTGTCTCTCTCTCTCTCCTAGAAAGAAATAAAAATATTTAAAAAAAAAAAAAAAGTCACTTCACCTCTGAGAGTCTTCTCACCTGTACAGTGAGGCCAATGCTGACCTCCACGGAAAGTTATTTTGAAGACTGAGATCTATATGCAGAGCATGAGCACCCAAGGGCTGGATAACGGCGGTCACCGCCACCCAGAAGTCCGGATAAAGACTTTCTCAGTGCTTCTGCTTCTCCTGCGTGTGCTGGAAACCGATCACCACCTTTGTATCGCTCTGTGCAATTACAGCAATGCTATTACATGCCCGGGGGCTTGCAGTTGCTCCGGTTTCATATATTGAGCCATTTTCCCACCAAGAGCCAAATATTTTAGTTCAAAAATAAAATCACCCTGCAGGGCATAATGCAGTAACAAGGGGTGGACTTAACCTCTCACCATAACAACCGGAAAACGGGACAAAATGTATGCAGCCACTGTTTTCAGGCCTAAAAGGGGCCACGGTCTGCGGGGGAAGGGAAATAAACAGGAGCTCCCCAGGAAGGGCCAGCTCTCAGCCTGGAGGCACTTTCTGAACCGTGACGAGGGGGTACGAGCCAAGCGGACGAGGGTGGTCCTCCTGAGGTGAGGGCGTCAGAAGTTCAGGGAGTCCAAGGTCTGGAAACAGCAAACACGTTTAAAAAAAGGAAGAAAAGCTAATAGACCAGGAATGGCAACATAACATACTAGAATGTACTCAATCCGAAAGAAGAAAAAAGCAGAACAAACAGGAAGATGTGAGACTTAAACCCAACTATATCGGTGATTATTTTCCTGTAAATGCTCTCAATATTCTGATTAAAAGGCAGAGATCAGAGACCAGCTATACCAGGCACACAGGACTAAAGGAGGCATGGTTATATCACAGCAGAGAATGCAGACATCAGAACCATCTACCAGCGGGACGAAGGAGGACATCTGACAAAGGAGAGAACATTCATGAACTGACATTAACAATCGGAATGCGCATGCGCCTCCCAAGGGGGAGCGGGTCCAGCAATTCCCCTCCAGCCACTTACCAGAAAGGAAGGACCCTATCTGTGCAGCAAGATGTGTTCACGACAAGGGGCGCCCGGGTGGTGCAGTCGGTTAAGTGCCCGACTCTTGATCTTGGCTCAGCTCATGATCTCACAGTTCGAGAGTTCAAGCCCTGTGCTGGGCTATGTGCTGACAGCACGGAACCTGCTTGGGATTCTGTCTCTCCTTCTCTCTGCCCCTTCCCTATTTGTGCATGCACTCTTTCTCTCAAAATAAATAAACAAACTTTAAAAAATGTTTTAAAAAGATGTGTTCACAGCAAAGACAAAACGGGTAAAAATGTCGATAGCAGTTTCACTCATAATTGGCCCAAACCCATCCCCAATGTCCATGAACACTGAATTGTGTTCAGTCCACACGATGGAATACTATTCAGCAAGAAAAGAAACCAAGCCCAAGGCAAGCCATGATACGGATGGCTCTCAAGGAAGGATGCTGTGCTAGGGCCAAGAAGCCAGACACCAAAGATGCATGTTGTTGGACTGTTTAAATGTACTTCCAGAAAAGACAGATGTAATCCATTGTGATTGAGAGCAGATCAGTGGTTGCCTGATACAAAGGGGCAAGAATGCTCTCTTTAAAGTGATAGAGGGCTGGGTGGCTCAGTCCCTTAAGCAGCTGACTCTTGATCTCCTCAGGTCATGATCGCATGGTTCTTGAGTTTGAGCCCCACACTGGGCTCTGCGCTCTGCTTCAGATCCTCTGTCTCCCTCTTTCTGCTCCTCCCACACTCACGCTTTCTCTGTCTCTCAAAAATAAATAAACGTTAGAAAAATTAAAAATAAAAAAATAAAGAGATGGAATTGATCTATACATATGGACTGTGGTAGTAGTTACTTGGGTGTACACTTTTTTCAAAAGTCAAACTCAAAAAAAACAAGGGGCGCCTGGGTGGCTCAGTCGGTTAAGCCTCTGACTTCAGCTCAGGTCATGATCTCACGTTCGTGGGTTCAAGCCCCATGTCGGGCTCTGTGCTGACAGCTCAGAGCCTGGAGCCTGCTTTGGATTCTGTGTCTCCCTCTCTCTCTGCCCCTCCCCTGCTCATGTTCTGTCTCTCTCCTCTCTCAAAAAATAAATAAACATTAAAAAAAAGTCAAACTCGATACTTAAAATGGATGCATTTTACTGTATGCATAGCCTTCTATAAAATTGTTTTTTAAAAAAAGAACACAGGCATACAGCACAGTTAGCACTAAACCAAGAAAAAAACTCAGTGACAACTAGACCCTTATAGATGTCGTATCTCGTGAGGAGGAAGTCAGGTATATTTTGAAAATCATAAATGAGAATACAAAATAAGGGGAAAAGAAGGGCCCCCATCAATGTCCCGGGGAGAGCTGTTCTGTTTCAGGTTCTTTTTGACCACCCATTCGGAGCCCACCCGCCACTGTGAGATTAGGAGCCATGAAACAAAACGGATTCCAATTGTCTTAAATAGTCACAAACTGTATGGCAGGCAAATGGGTTCCAGAGAGCAAACCCTGAAGGCCCATAATGATGGTTGTAAGTTACAATGTCATCCACACTCGGAGCAATGAAAATCTCCACTGGGGGAGAAAAAACAATCTCTGTGGCGAATCAGGGTATCGTCCAAGGTAAGAATGTTTGCTTCTTGAGAAAGGAGCCCTATTTTCTTTGTGCTCCACTGTTATATAAACTGTCTCTTTGAGAGACCAGCACAAGTCGGCCTGCCCCACCTTGGCTGGGATTTATGTCTCTTCTGAGGCAGGCCTGAAGAATGTTCTCTGCTCCTCGGCAGAGCAGAAAGTGATCTGAGTTGGAACAGAGCCACAGCCTTACGAGGATGACCTCGAAGCATCGGGAAGAATGCAGGGGACGTGTGACAACAGCCTTCGGCAAGTGACTGTGCAGATCAAGTTCCTGTAATTCCTAAGGGGCAGGAGCCCTCTGACCCCGGCCTCCTAGCCGAGCCCCTTTCTTCACCTCCTGGCCCTACCCGAAGCCCCGGACACTGAGTCCCCGGCAAGCCCCTCTCCCTCTCTCCCACCTGTTTCTGCACCAGGACTCCTTACAAATTCAGCCTCAACCGTCTAGGAGGGACTTCCCTCCCGGCCTCCAATGCTAAACCGCTCACTCACCCGCAGGCCAGAAGAATCACCTCCTGCTTCCCCCCGCCCCCCCGGGTCCCCCAGACCCCCCAGGCCTGCTTCTATGGCAGCTGGCCAGGGTGGGGGCCTGAGACAGTGCCAGCCTGGAGTTCAGCCTCTCCTGCCTCCTGCACCAGCACTCCCCCTCCCCACCTTGGCCGCAGCCCCTGGGCCTCTGGAGCGTGGCTCCTGAGTGAGGGCATCTGCTGAACCCCCAGCCAGACCTGTTCTCCCCAGATAAATGCACATGGGCTCGGCTCCCTCATCTCCCCCAAGGGGTTTGTCCATCTGACCCTTTATAAGCAGTGCCTTCTCAAAACACTGTTAGACACGCCCACCAGCACATTAATCCCATGACATGTATCAGCACAGGGACAGCACAGCGAGAGTATGGAAACAGCACAGGGACAGCACGGGTATAGTATGGAGACAGCATGGGGACAGCACGGGGACAGTATGGAGATAGCACGGGGATAGTATGGAGACAGCATGGGGACAGCACAGGGACAGTATGGAGACAGCACGGGGACAGCACGGGGACAGTGTGTATCTGTCAGTCTGTCTCCCCAGGCAGCATGGTAACCCCATGAAGACACAGACTTCAGAACTGCTCACAGATGCGCTCCCCGGAGCTCACAAGAGTGTGTAGCACAAGGTGACATCTACCGAGTGAATGGCTGAGATTTTAGCAACAGATTAAACGCTAATAACCACCTCATAGTACATCTCTGCATCTCCTGGTTTTGACTTTGCCTAGAGGTAGAAAGACCAACAGAGTTCAAGGATGAGGTATAAAACCCTCTGGAAGAAAAGGATTTCCAAAACAGCTAAAACCAGGGGCTAAAACCCGGACAGCACGCTACAGCCTGACATTTCGTAATGCGTTCAGGACTTTGAAAATCCTAAAAGGATCCCGTCATCCCTGTACCTGCCGGTTCAGAAAGCTGATGGACTTTTCCAGTGGAGGCGACACTTCCAGGGCCCTTGGCGCTCTCTGGCGGTACGCAATAAGGCCCCACATTTGCTCATATAGCCAGAGCACACGCACGTCTCCCCTAAAATATGTGGGCCCTGCCAGGGAGAAAGCTCCAGAGGCCTGCCAGCACCTAGGCTCCCCTCCTGGCTAAGAGAGAGGCCTGCCCACACTCACCTTGGGATTCAAACTCGGGTCTCAGAGACATCAGCAGGACGCTCCCCCCCCAAACATGAATCGCTGGGACTCCCCGGTGGTAGTGAACACACTTCACTGGCACTTTCAACAGTGACTGTGCGTGTCCTACGTGCTCCTTCAAAGGGCAAGCTGGCCGGAGGTGGGAAGCCTAACGTGGTCTTCACCTTCCCCGTGTGCCTTTTTGTTTCAAGAGATCATTCTAGTACAGCACCGGATCAAAACACAGTCAACTGGGAATGTCTCATTTAGCAAAGCATGTATGTACATCTGCTACAGAAGCGTCTTTGTGCACTGCCCCCAAATTCTGGATTTTAGTTTCATTATATATTAATAGGAACTGTAGAGTTCATATGTTATTAAAAACAAACAAACAAACAAACAAACAAAAAAAACAGAACTCCATCCATGTGCGAACTTCCACAGTTCCTGGGGACAGGCAAGCAGAGCTTCCAGTCCAGGCTTTGACTCCTGGGACTGTGCGAACTGGGTCGCATTACTTTACCCGGCAGACAAAATGCTCTGTGCACTGACTGGTATACAGGGAGCCATCGCCGTCTCAAACTAAAAGGAATTCCTACAAAGCAGGCTCAGAAGAAATCAGGAAGCATTAAATAGCAGCAATTTAAGAGATCACAGATTGGGTCACCTCGGGGGCTCGGTCCATTAAGTGACTGACTTGGGCTCAAGTCACGATCACCCAGTTCTTGAGTTCAAGCCCCACGATGGGCTCTGTGCTGACAGCTCAGAGCCTGGAGCCTGCTTCAGATTCTGTGTCTCCCTCTCTTTGCCCCTTGTCTGTCTCTCTCAAAAATAAAAAAATACTGGAAGAAAAAAAAGGAAAGCCAGCCTTAATAAACTGGTTTAAAAAAAAAAAGTATTTCATGCTCTTTGAAAGCTGCCTCAAATACCTCGGATGTCCCAAATACTTAGAGCGGCAGAGGCTGCCTGCACGGCAGGCGGTGGCCCCCAGCTCCGGCAGGGTCCCTATGGGAGGAGCCAGCTAGACAGGTAAGGCCAGCACAGGTAAGAAGTGGCTGGAAAGACTGCCTGCTGGTAGGTTTTTAAGGCAACAGCCAAGATGAAAATGTGCATAATTGGTGCCCCTAACTTTCGGAGTTGCCTGTTGCTGCCAGGACCTTTTTGATTGAAAACCCAATTAGCGGTGCTTAGTCAAGTGTTTATCTCTGCTTTTTGAAAGTTTAAATGGATCTTTAACTCTTTCCCTCGCTCAAAGTCTCCACAAAGGCATGGATAATTGATGCAGGGCTGAATAGGGTGGATAATTGATGCAGGACTGCATGGGGCCCTAGGTTTTTCTTCTGCATGGTGGTTGGTGGCTCCCCTCTAGAGAAAGATATGTGGGGGGGGGGCTGACTCTGCGACCCTCAGTCAGGGGCTGGTAGGGGGAAAGGCCCTTCACAGGGGCTGAAACACACACTTCCAAACAAGGCTGGGAACAAAGAGGGAAAACAAAGATGGAAGCC